AGACATAGCTCATATCATGACCTCTGAAAGTTCCCTCAGGCCCTTCCCAGTGAGTTCCCCACTGCCGGGTTCCACTTGGGAACTGGCTTTGAATTTCATGCTGTGCCAGAATTTCAGTAAGTGCTGTTGCTTGGTACGCACTTCCTATTATTTGTCTAGCACCTTTAATTCAGCACAGTGTTTTGTAGATTTAACTATTTTGCTTCTTTCCTGTTGCTGCTGTAACAAATTTAAGTTTATAAGCAAGTGTAGTGACTTAGAGCACAAATTTATTCTGTGACAGCTTTGGAGGTCAGCATCTGAGGTGAGTCTTAAAGGGCTAAGGTCAGGTTGCTGGGGAGGATGGGTCTTTCTGGAGCTTCCCGGAAAAATCTGTTCCTTCAGTTTCTTCCTGCTTCTCAAGCTCTGGGCCTCATTGTCGTTGCCATGAGCTACATCTCTAGTCCTGTTGTGTTTGTTTTGTTTTAATTTTGAAATAACAGCTTTAAAGATACATAATTCACATACCATAAAATACACCCTGTTAAGTGTGTACATTGTATTGGTTTTTATTATATTCACATAGTCATGCAGCTGTCACTACTTTCTGAATTCCAGAACATTTTCTTTTTTTTTCTTTCCTTTTTTTTTTTTTTTTTTTTTTGGTGGAACCGGAGATTGAACTCAGGCCCTTGTGCTTACCAGGCAAGCACTTATTCTACTGAGCTACCTCCCAGCCCCTCCCAGAACATTTTCATCGTTCTAAAAGGACACGTTGTCCATTAGCCCTTACTCCCAGTTCTTCTGCCTTGACTCCTCATTCTCACTAACCTCACATAAATGTTTTCCAAATACTTTTTCCCATCTGTGGCTCCCTTACTTACATTCTAAAAGGCATTAAGTTTTTAATTTTGAGAAATTCAACATCAGTTTTTTCTCATATGATTTTTGCTTTACATGGTCTACAGAACCTTTTCCCACCCTCAAGGTAAGAAAACTCTTTTTATGTCGTTCTTCTAGAAACTTTATGGTTTTGGCACTTAGGTCTGGGTCTGTGAACCTCTTGGGTGAGGCTTTTTTTCTTACCTGATGGATGTCCATCCATATATTCTAGCACCATTTGTTGAGAAGATGTTGCCTTTCTCCTCCACTTTTCAGAATTCATCTATTCACATTTTGGCTGCAATTGCTAGGTTACTGTCACAGCTTTGGCTAGAAAGTACTAAATTGTGTTTGACTCATGCTTGTCAGTTGCTGCCTTCCCCAGTGAAAGGAGGACAATAAAATGTGGCTAAGCATTTACTTCTAAAGGAATTTAGGTACTAGGAGTACTGTACTTACTAAAAATTGTAATGGAAATTGGGGTAGAGAAGATTTAGAAATGCATACGTCACACATAATTATTTTAAAATACGAGTTTGGAGTAGTGTCTTGGAAAAAAAATCTGTGTCAAATTTTGACAGAAAGATGAGCCAGCTAACTGCAATCTTAATGCATTCTTTCTACATAGTCTGTAATTTGCAAGCATGGTTTTCTGTTCCCATTGTTCTTTCCCTCCCAGCGCTACTCCAACCCAAGTTCCTATCCTCACACAGTAGTCACGAGTCTTCAAGGCCCAGCTCATGGGATCCTATTTATATGGTTCTTTTCCTAGAACAGGCTGAGCATCCCCAGGCCCAAAATCTGAAATGCAAAATGCAAAAAGATTTTTTTTTTTTTTTTTTTTTTTTTTTAATAGCTCAGGCTGCCTGAAGGGCAGGTCTGGTATGGGAGGTGGAGCTGGAGATCGAACCATGGTATCCTGCGTCTGACTGCATTTGCATGAGCAGGTGCTTAAACATCTGAGCTAACAGACAATGTTTTCAAAGTTTATCAGGAGATTTAGATTTTTACATTAGGGATGTTCAACCAGTACTGTCTATGCAGGTATTGCAAAATCTGAAAATCTCCAAAGTCAGAAACACTTTTATGCTAAGCAGTTAGGATAAGGGTTGCTCTCCCTGTATCTGTATACTAGAATTTTGCTGTCTTCCTCCACTTCTTGCCATGCACTCCCAAAGCACTTCCTAGCATGCTCTGCCCTGTGGTACAGCTGTTTGTGAAGGTGTCCTATCTTTTCCAACTAAACCACAGATTGTTTGAGGCCAAAGAGTTCTTCATAGTCATGTCTCCAACTGTGCCTGCCACAGAGACCCTTCCAGTCATTGTGGACATTTTAGCTTCCTTTCAGATGGAAACAGGAAAGGGAAACATTCAAGAGCAATTTGATTCATGGGTGGTTTAGTTGGCATGATGTAGAAGACAGTCTTAGGGAGGATTTTATATTTTTTTCCCCAAGGACAATTTAAATTAGTAGCCCCTGAGTTCAATCCCTGGTTCTGCCAAAAAAAATAAATAAATAATAATAATAATAATAATAAATAAATTAGTAGTCACTATCTAGAGTTCTGCATAGAGTTTATTATTTTTTTAATTTTTATTTATTTATTTTTTTTTATTTTAGGGAAGGGTCTTCAGCGTGTTCAGGGTCTCACTACTAGATTGGATTCTAGTGATCCACCTGGTTACAGCCTCCCAAGAGCTGGGATTACAGGTGTGCACTGCCACACTCAGTCTCAATTGCCATCTCAGCATGCCCTGGGGGCGGGGCTGGCACAGCAGGCCTGGGGATCAAACCCCTGACCCCTGAGCCTGCTTGCAGGTACCTGCATAGAGTTTAGATATGCATTTAAAGAGAGCTCTTTAGAATGTTAAGACCTAAATGAGTTTTTAGGTATTTGTGATTTCAGATCATGGAATGATAGTAAGAACGCTGTTGTTTCTACTTCTACTTATTTGCTGAGTTGTAGCACAAAACCAAATTGAGAGCGATCTTTGGATTGTGCAGTGTCTTATCCTCCTTATGAACAATTGAAAATTGTACTCAGTAATATTTTTTATGAAAGTTAACCAAGGAAATCTAACAGTAAGAAATTATAAGCATATGAGTCAAAGACAGTTACTTGACATACAGCTGCTCTCTACCAAGAAGGACAGATTGTCTTCCTACACTTGAAATACATTTAAAATTAGAAATAATCTAAAACTCTGAAGAGCTATCAAGCCTGCAAGTTGTAGCTAACAAATTAATGTTTTGACTATCATCATGCAGATTTTTTCCAGCAGTGCCCAAAGACAAATTAAATCAGCTAATTAAGTGTTCAAGTGTGAGTGGTGTTTTTCTTCAGTAATCAAAGCATTTAAAGGTCAAAAAACAAACTTAACTGCTTTAGACTCTTTGAATGGGCAGCCAGTCAAATGCCTCCCACCTGGTATAGCCTGAAGCCTTGACCAGACCCCAAAAATCTTCCTCATAGCTGACAGAGGCTTGGAAAGGAGTTCATTGATTTAGGTGGGGGAGGGGGTACCTGAAATTGAACTCAGGGCCTTGTGCTTGCCAGGCAGATGCTGTGCCACCAAGCTATATCCCCAGTAGTAGTAGTAGTAATAGTAGTAGTTGTTGTTGTTGTTGTTGTTGTT